TCGTCCCTTTCCTCGTCGCCACTGGGATCCGATCCCGCCAGAGCTGCTCTCAGCGCCGGCGGCCGGGTCGCGGAAGAGCGCCGCTGGAAGCGAAGGCGGCTGGGCTGGTAAGTGGGGTGGGGGTGGGGAGGACGTGGGGTGCTTTTTTGGAAAAGCAAGGTAAAGTTTCGCGAAGAGCCGCATCCAGGCTGTTGCTTCTTTCCTTTGCTTCCTCCGTCCCTTCCCTTTGTCGCCCTCAGAGACGCTTTCGAAACTCTCCAGAAATCTTCCCTTCCTCTTATCTGTGGCCTGCAAGGTTAGGTGCCTGTGGATCCCAAGCGACGCCTCGCGCCGTGGGGGGTGGGGTGGGGTGGGGTGTCTGGTGCCCCTTCGCCTTCATGGATACCACTCTGCCTCTGGGGTGGCCACCTCCCTTTCCCCCCCATACGCACACGCGCGTCATGCCTTGTTCAGATGGCCGTGTAAACCCTTCCTCCCCACCCCACTCCCTGGATCTATCCAGTTGTTCCTGTCGACCGGCTCCAAAGGGTGTCGCGGGTATTGTGACAAAAGCGCGCTTAGGTGTGAGTGAAATGAGTCCAAAGTGCATCGAGCAGGAATAAAAAGTGATTTTAAAATAGGGGTTATAACCGTTGTTTTCTGCCTCTAGCACCTCGATGTTTTTATCCATTAGAGTAGTCCTCTCCAACTGCCCCGGTGTCAGGCTCAGTTTGGTTCTGTTCGCAAGGTTCTCTGGTCAGTCGTTGTAAGTTTCCCATTTCTTCTGAACTCTGGCCAGTATGGAAAAAGGGAAGTACTTTAACCTGTTTCCCCATTTCCATAGCACCTATGTGTTGCTTTATATCCCCTTTCTTTTAACTGTGGACAAGGTTAGCTAAATCTTCATTTTCCCAGATTTTGCTGGAAGCCCCTCAATCCCCAATATGTATGCATGCACTTGATCTGCTTAGTAAATTATCATGGGGATATTCTAAGTATTTAGCCCAGATACTGTTTTCTTAACGTGTTCTAAAACTGGGTTCTAATCCAATTCCCACTTGTATCTGGTGGAATGGTGCGAGTGCATTCTGTATTTATGGTTCTCCTATTTTTTTTCCTAAATATGTATGTGGCCCCATCATGAGTGCTCTGTGAAACTTCTTACATGTAATGAAATAAGCAAGCCTGTACTTATTGTGTGAAACTGACTGTATGAAGGGAAGGGATTATACGTATATAAACATATCTTCTTGTTGCATGCTAGCAGAGGATGAACTACCCATAGCAATTGCTGTGATAGAGGTATCATATCAGAGCAAAATGTTATGTGGTTAGAAAAATCCCTATAGATTCCATACTCTTGAGGCAATTTATAACAGAATGGGCTATAAATGGGCTGTTTCTTGTTATTGTCTACTGTCTGTGTGCTTACAGTAGTGAGCATTTTTGCAACCTTTACCAAACAAGTAACTCTGCCATATGCATGTACACCTGCTACGCTTCCCCCTCCACCTTCTTTCTTATTGTATGTGTAAGAGTATATGCAATCTGTTCTCTCACCGAGAAACTACCCACTCTTTTTCCAATGCATATTTTTCCTTTACCATAGCCAAGGAGATTTCCACTTGCTCCTTCTTGATTCTCAGACTATGAAGTTAGTCCTTTCATGGAACTGTAAATGATTGTTTGGGGAAGGCACACTAACTGAAATTATTTAATTAAACAAGGAGACAAAATTCGCAGCACCTCCTTCCAGGTTCCAAGCCAAGATAAAATATGCAGCTTTGCCGTAACCTAAGAGATTCTTTCTGTGAGCCTTAAACAATAGCCTTGTAGAAAACAGATCTGATACTTGTATGTACTATCTTGTGTGAAACTGCCAGTAATAGCTGGTTTGTATACATGTTTCAGGTTCAATCCCCACATCTCAAGTCCAAAAAAAAAAAAAAGCCTGTAATAAAAGAATTGGAAAAGACTTTGTTCTATTTCTCACAGAATCTTAGTTAAAGCAACCAGTATTATGTAGCTAAATTAATAGTCTGTTACAGCAGTTTTATATATTTAGAAAGTGTAACACACTTAATTGCATACTCATAATTTTTTAAACTTAGGGTCTGGAGTTGTTTCAAAAACAGACCAGATTTGAATTAACCAGTTGTTAATGGAAGCAGATATGATTGGATTATACTGACATTTTTAAGGTTTTAGCCATAAGCAGTACAGCTGGAGTTTAAAATTTAAATCTCCCAGTTGTGCTAACTTGACCTTTGAAGAATTCCAGGCTTCCACAATGACAGCCTGTGAAGGCAAGGCCAGGCAAACAAGAAGTGGAAGGTATATATGCCAGTTTATCCTTTCTAGTAATGGTGGAAGATAAAACTTCTGCCATTATTTGGATTCAACTATGAGTCATGCAAGATAGAAACTCCAAGAATGTTCTTAATGTGTATTGTATGTGGGTAGGCTGGCTTCCCCTGTTCTGTCTCAAAAAGTTTGTGAAATCTACCTGTAGGCAAGATCTTATTTTTGCATAATACCAGAACTTATAATGTATGATCATCCTCCAGTTTCTTAAAATAGGAAAGTGAATAGAGAAGCTCTTTTGCCACTTAGTCATTGGATCTAATAATGTATGTATCCCAAAGTGCTTTTAAACAATTGTTGAATACAATTCAACATTTGCATCAGCTGACAGGTAAAATCATATTGTTTTAATTCTCTATAGTGCAGCTATTCCTTATCTGGGCATACACTCTACTGTCATATTTGCCTGCCCAAGGTATGGAGATTACAAGGCTGGCTTTAATCTTCCTAGTTTTAACACCAGTATAAATACTGTAATCATAAACTATTTAGGTGGATGCACAGCATCTGTTGAGATGAAAGAAGTGACATCTTGTGATTTTACCTGGAAAGTTTTTGAACCTGCAGATTCCAAAGAAGCAGAGTTCTTTGTAATCTTAATTCCATCATTTGTGGACTGAACCCCGCCCCATCCAGCTGATTAAAGGGAACAGAGAGTTGGATCCAGGTAGGAGCCAACACTTCTTTGAAATAAGGCAGTGTTGTCTTGAAAGATACCCTGGCTTGCTCATTCCTCAAGAAACTTGGCCTGGACGCAATGGAATTGAGACAATACTGCCAAATTGGCAACCTTCCTTTTTGCGGGAAAGTTGTTGAAAACGTGGTGGGGTCACACTTACAGAAATCTTGGGGGGGGGGTGGATTATCTGAACCCATGGGAGTCTGGCTTCAAGCATAGATGCAGGAGAGACCACATTAGTCCCTCTCATGGATGATCCTGTGGCTTGAATGGAGGGAGCACAACCAACCCTGTCCTCCTATATATTTCAGTGGCTTTCAAAGCTGTCCACACAATGCTGTATCCTTCTGGACTGTCTGTGAGGGTTGAGATTTTTAAGCACTGTTTTATTGACCCCGTTGGGGTTGGGGGAGAGATGGGTCCATGGGTGGTCTGTTATGGGATGTCTTAAGGCTTGGTGCTTTCCCCTATCCTGTTTAATATCTACATAAAACTATTGGGAGAAGTCATCTGTTTGGGGTGATACTCAGTTGTACATTTCCACCCAAGGCTTATTTGGAGATGCAGTTGAAATTCTGACCATGAAAAAACAGGCTGAGACTCAGTCCAAAGAGTGGCTGTTAATTTAAAAGCCTACTGATTGCAATCCTGCACCAACTTTAATTCTCAAGGAGGTGGTGCTTTCCCAGAGAGAGTAGTTTCCAAAGTGGGTAGTCCTCTGGGACTTGCAACTCCTGCTTGAAAAGCAGGTAGAAGCTCTGGCTAGTGTTTTAAGTACAACCTTACCTGGAACAGGATGCTCTGAAGATGATCATGCATGCCCTTATAATCTCTTGGTTAGATTACTAGAATTTGTCCAAATGAGACTGCCCCTGAAAACTACCCAGAAACTTCAGCTGGTCCAGGATGCCTCAGCCTATGTGCTTACTGGTCAGTCATTGCCCTACCACATTGCACTGTTGCTGTCAGGGCTTCCCTGATTACTGGTGTATTTCCAAGTGCAATTCAAGATGCTGTCATTACTTTTACAGCCCTATATGTCACAGGAGCAGAGCACGTAATAGCCTTCCTGCCCCAGGTAGATTTTGCCCATCCCATTCAGCTAGGCAATGCCTATAGGGAGGTGTGGTAGAAATGGGCCTAACAACAGGCATTCTCTGTGGGAGCTCCCTCCTTTGAAACAGCTTGCTCCCAAGGCAAGAACGGCTTCCACACTCAAGGCTTTCCAGAGTCTGATGAAAACCTAGCTTTACCTTTGGGTGTTAGCTGTGTAGCTTTGGTGCCTATATTAGTCTAATGTTTTAAAGAAACTTGGTGTTATTTATTATTGCTACTTTATGTTTTTAATATCTGTAAACTGCCTGGAATCCCTCCAGATTGAGAAAGATATTAGCATCTGCAAACTAGTTCCTGAATTCTTGGGATATCTTGATTCTACATGGTTTCTAGAGCACTTCTGATAGTCACAAGGCTCCTAATACTGATAACAGGGATGTAGCATTACTGTATGAATATCTGTTTTGCAAATGTTTTTCTATAGTGCAGGAACAGTTAGAAACTTTGTGAAATATAAATGTTTATCTGTTTTAGTGAGAAACAGTGTAGTCTGTTTACTTCTCTTGAAACATTCACAGCTTCTCTTTCTGGTCTGTTTAGGAACAATGTTAAGCTTCTTTCGCCGGACACTCGGGCGCAAGTCTATGCATAAGCATGCTGAGAAAGAGCGGCTAAGGGAAGCTCAGCGAGCTGCAACTCACATCCCTGCAGCTGGAGATGAGAAATCTATAATTACATGCAGGGTCTCTTTGCTGGATGGAACTGATGTCAGTGTGGATTTACCGGTATGATACACTTTAATTTATTTTATCAAGAATCTTGGCAAATATTTAAGGAAATGCGTTCTCCTTTATCTCTGAGTTGAATGGGATGCATTGTGTTAGTGTCATTTAGTCAAGAGTGCCCCAATTGCTAATAGATGTTAAAAGGTTCTTCTTAGGTGTTGGTCACAGGACCTTGATCAGGTATTTTTAGAAGTAGTACTGGGAACAGAAACTGCTGAGGGAATGGACTCTCCCTTCCCCTGTAGCCCCTTGCATGCTTCCCAAATCTTCTACAGAAGGTTGGGGAACTCTCCAAAGTTGATTTGAGTTGTGTGAGAATATTTTTCTTCCGGTGTGTTGCAGATTAAAGAGCAGCCAAAGAAAGATGCTTTGGCATCGTTTTGGCTTTCTCTCTTTTTTTTCCCCCAGAAGTCTCAGGAGTACTTTGTAAAAGAAAAAGACTTGCATGAGTTAAACCTGACTCCTAGGGTCTTCATGAATGCATCCATGAAGTTCTCTTGGCAATGATGTGTATGATTTGGGGATAGTTTTCTCAACTTCCCTGTCTAGCCTACATCCCTGCATTTCCATTGGTTTTCCCAAACCAGTACTAACTAGGACTGACCTTCCTTAGCTAAATGCCCTGTTCACTGCCTCTGGCTGATTTACAGCTCAGTTTAGAATGATGATGCTCTGAAGAGAATTCTGCCTGTAGTTTTGTCCTTTATTTCTTTTTGAGCAATACTGATAACTGGAAAAGAGAAAATGTCCAAGTCTCATTTGTAAAGAAAACATCAATTCTTTTTTGAAAAATAGTAAGTTACTATGAAATGCTTACCTATTCTTTGGGCTTTTTCTGGCTGGGGCAAAATTTTGAAACCTAGGTAAGATAATCTAGAAATAGATGGATTTTTATTCCACTCTCTAACTGTAAACAGTTACCTGCTTGATGCTTTAGTGTCATTGTAGATCAGACATCAGTACTAAAGCCAAGAAATTAAGTGAAATTGAATGAATAAATTATGTAACTAATTAGGTCAAAAGTCAGTAGATTAAGACGATGTCTTTCTATTTGGGTGAAACACATTCAGAGTTCTATTGCCACCTAGTTATTAAGATATATCTTTTTAGAAATTAAAGAAACAGTGTTTTTGTTTTTTAATATCTTATGGAATATGTTGAACATCATTGACAGAAATTTATTTCATCAATGTATTGCCTCAATCACAATAGTAACCCTAGACAACTTGCAAAATGTGCACATTTAAGGGTTAAAACAACTAACAGAAAAAAATCATAACAAGTAACAGTAATGTTACTAACAATACATTGAGAAAACAGCACAACCAGTTTCAAAACATATAAAACATACAGTGGGGCAAAAAAGTATTTAGTCAGCCATCAATTGTGCAAGTTCTCCCACTTAAAAAGATCATGGAGGAATGGGCCAAAATACCAGCAACAGTGTGTGAAAACCTTGTGAAGACTTACAGAAAACGTTTGACCTCTGTCATTGCCAACAAAGGATATATACCAAAGTATTGAGATGAACATGGAGGAATGGGCCAAAATACCAGCAACAGTGTGTGAAAACCTTGTGAAGACTTACAGAAAACGTTTGACCTCTGTCATTGCCAACAAAGGATATATACCAAAGTATTGAGATGAACATGGAGGAATGGGCCAAAATACCAGCAACAGTGTGTGAAAACCTTGTGAAGACTTACAGAAAACGTTTGACCTCTGTCATTGCCAACAAAGGATATATACCAAAGTATTGAGATGAACATGGAGGAATGGGCCAAAATACCAGCAACAGTGTGTGAAAACCTTGTGAAGACTTACAGAAAACGTTTGACCTCTGTCATTGCCAACAAAGGATATATACCAAAGTATTGAGATGAACATGGAGGAATGGGCCAAAATACCAGCAACAGTGTGTGAAAACCTTGTGAAGACTTACAGAAAACGTTTGACCTCTGTCATTGCCAACAAAGGATATATACCAAAGTATTGAGATGAAAATGTGATTTTCTGGATTTTTTCCCCCATTTTGTCTCTCATAGTTGAGGTATACCTATGATGAAAATTACAGGCCTCTCTCATCTTTTTAAGTGGGAGAACTTGCACAATTGGTGGCTGACTAAATACTTTTTTGCCCCACTGTATATCCATCAGTGGGATCACAAACCATCGTGCCCAAGACTTGCTGAAAAAGCCAGGTTTTAAGGGCTTTATGAAAACACAGTCGGGTTGGGGCCATTCAGACATCAGTAGGAATGCTGGTCCAGAGGGCAGGAGCCGCCCCAGAGAAGATCCATCTCTAAGGTGCCACAGATGGCACTGCTTTATTGATGGGACCTGGAGCAAGCTGACCCTCCTAGGTCTTACAGAATGGGCAGTAACAACTGGAGAGAGGTGGTCCCATAGGTATCCAGGTCCTAAGCCATGAAGGATTTACTTTAAATTCTAGCCAGTGCAATTTACAAAGTAGTGGTGGTACATGGACAAAATGAGGTATACCCATAACTACTCATGCTGCCGTATTCTGGATCAGCTGTAGCTTCTTTGGGGGCAGCCACATACAGAAAGCATTGCAATAGTCCATATGCAGGGTGACCAAGGCATGAGTAACTATGTGAAGGGCCTCCTAATGCAGGGACAATCATAACTGGCACACCACATGAATCTGTACAAAGGCCTATATATTTTCATTTATGGAAGAGGTACTGCTTGGTAGGAAAAAAAAGAGATTGCTGAAAAAAATGGATTTTGCTAAGAAATGGCTATATTCAGTCTGGTGATGAATGGAGACTTTATGAATTACTCCTTATTTCTTTATTTTTCTTTTTAAAAACAAGCAGCCTTTCCTCAGTATGAATTGCTTCAAAATTTCTATTAGTAGAAATGTATCTAAAGCTTCAGTATTGTGTGTGTGTTTTAAACTCTTTAACCTTTTATGAATGTTGGGTATGGGAAAAAAGCAAGCAGGAATTTAGGTTGACAAGTTCTGGTATCTGCTTAAGGGCATTTATGATTTCCCATAACATAGAGATTTGTTCTGATTTTCTCCACATCTAAACTGGGCTTTTTCCAAAGAATGTTGACATCTGTCTTGGTGTCACGACATCTGGACACATAAGAAATTTCAAAAGTTAATAGTTATTGCCACTCCTTTTCAATGGGCTGAACTTTTTTGGATGAACCTCTTTCAGCAGTTTCTCCTAAGTGACTGTCTGAAATGTCAGGAAACTGAATTACCATCACCAGACCCTCAAACGTTGTCCACCTGTTCTAGATTGAATAATAGACCACATATTTATGAGTAGCTGAGATGGCATTAAGAGTTACTTCGTGACACACAGGTTTTTCTGAATCAGATTGCCATGCATGTAAAAGAGACCTTATGTTTGTTTAGAAACTCATGGAAGACAAGCAACCTTCAAGAGTTGCTCAAAAAGGAGCATACAAGCAGTGATTGAGAAAGAAGTAAAAAGCTTAATTTCTCTTTGAGACCTAATTTTGAGGCTCTATTTGTATATTCATGTGTAATATATATGTAGATCCTTCCCCTGTAGCTGCACCATAAACCCTCAGTGATTTTTTTTTTCCATTGTGAGGATGATAGTAATTGTATTTTATACTCAGTTGCTGGACTTTATAAAAATAAACACTTTTTATTTTTATAATTGGTATTTAAGTTTTAAAATATTCATAATGTGTAATATTCATAAACTGAAACAATGGAAACATTTCAAGAAGTTACTTCTAGTTTTTTGCAACTTTTGAACTTTTTGCAATATCTTTGTTTCCAGTGTGGATTTAATAAGTAAAAAGTCATTGTGTGGCACAAAAAGGCTTGTTCCAGATTTTCTAATTAATAAGAAAAAATGCTGAATTCTGCATCAGAAACTTTTAATACCAAATGGTTTAAGGATGCAGGATCCTTGGAACAGAAATGATCAGTAACCAATGACTTAGGAATGACTATATAATTACTCTTTCATTTAACTTATTATATGTTGCAAAACTTGTATTAAATTGCAAAATTGTACATTTGAGACAGGGTTGTTGATCTTTCTGCAATGAGCTATTTGATTATTAGATGTGCAATAAATACAAGATAGTACAGTTATTATTGGAACTTAAAATCATAAATAGCTTGGATAATCACTTTCAGACTTTTCCTTTCCTTATTATGTTACCTTAGTGTATATGCATTCTGAATTAGAGTGAAGGCTCTTGGATAGTTCATTTGGCACTGAAGCTCTTGTTATGGTTAGGAATGAAATGCACAGTTCCATGACGTGGAAGAGCCTCAAAAAAAACCCCACTTCCTGGGTTACAAATATATGTTATCCTAAAGAATTTTGAAATGTTTCTGGGAAATGTTTGTTAACAAAGAAATTTGAATTTCTTAATAGCTTTGACTTCAGTAATCAATTCTAATCCCTATTGGGAATTATGTAGACAACTGGAGGTAAAACAATAGGATCTACTGTCATAATACAGTAAGAAGTTTATGGTTCATTTAGCTTCAACTGTCTACTAGCAAAAATTTGACTATTATGATTTGAGGCCAGGAGAACAGGTAATACTATTTACAAAATCATGGAGTAGTGTAGTTGGAAGGGACACAGGGCTTATTTTGTCAGCCTCTAATATGTGCAGGAAAAGCAATTATGTCCAGCCTCCTCTTAAAACTCTGTAGAGATAGAGAGCCCACAATCTCCATAGATACCCTTCTACTGTGGTAAAGAACTTATCATCAGAAACTATGTCTATATATTTAAATGAAATCTAGATAACTACAACCTGTACCTGTTGTTTTGGTCCTAGTTTATGTGGAATGGAAAATAGTTCCTAATCATCTTTCTTATGGGACACTTTTAGGTACCTGAACACTGATATCATGTGTCTCCTCAGTCTCCTTTTCTGAAGACTGAATTTCCCCACATCCTTCAACCTATTCTCATAGGACAGGTTCTCAGTTCCTTAGATCATTTTTGTCATTCTGCATTAAACTTCTTCTAATCTGTTATTGGGGAGGTGAAAAATTTTGTCTCCTTTTTTGGTGTAGGAAAACACACCAAAAAAGCACATCTTCCTGTCCTGCTTTCACCTCTTATATCTGAATATTTAACTTCCTTCACAGCTGAAAAAATCTTTGGGAAATTCATTAGGATTGAGAGATACTTTCACAATTAATCTCACTTCCCCAAACTCTTTTAGTTTGAGAAACATTGTATCCCTTTAAAGTTTTTAGCACCCTCTGTGGGGATATTTGTGGAACTAGGATTGAGAAAAGTATCTTTCACATATAATTTCACCAGTGTTAATCTTTTTCTTTGTGATGCTATATATATTCTTAGGACCACAGTCAGGCCAGTTTTCCTGCACAGTGCACAGGAGTGGATAAAGTAGTGGACAAAGACTGGGGATATCTAGGTTCAAGCCATCCTTAGCCATATGCAGACTCACTGGCTGTAAAGAAATGTAGACCTGGCCTTGGGAACCGGGAAGGAATGAGTGAACCGTTAAGGGGGACCTTTCAGGAAGATTACTCAGTCCTGAGAAAGAATAAAACCAAATGGGGCAAAGAGAGACTCTGAAGGGCTTTCAAGGTTCTGTTACTCTGCCTTATAGTTATAAAGAGCATTCTTGGAATTCCTGCCATGACTCTTTCTTGCCTACACTGGGTCATGCTTTCTCAGCCCAAAGCACCTCACAGGATTATTGTTGCAGGGGGAAAACGGGAAGAAGGCATATTATGCATGCCATCTTGTACTCCTGCAGGAAAGATGGAATAAATATCTCAACAAATAATTATCAGTTCCTTTTTAAGAGACAGTATGTTCAGTGCTATTCTTTCTTTGGTCTCTGGAATAGTTTTACAGCCAGAATTTGTTCTGTACCTGTAATGATAGGAGACCTGGACTTCCTTTTTTGTGCTTCTGGCCTCAGAAGTAGAGTTAATCTGTAACTAAGCTATATCTTCCTAACTCAGTTCCTCTTGCAATTTCAGAAAAAAGCCAAAGGACAACACCTGTTTGAGCAGATAATGTACCATCTGGACCTTATTGAAAGTGATTACTTTGGTCTACGATTCATGGATTCAGCGCAAGTGGCCGTGAGTAGCATAAGTTTTTGTTGTTGTTATGATCATATAAAAGAATAAATTATATTAAGTGGAACCTGAGATTTATGTATTAAATTGTGTGTTATAAACATGTTTTTCATGATAAAACAATGTATCAATTGCTTCAGATGCTGCTCTTAGCCATACTAGCTGGGATGATCCAACATATCTAGAGGCTCCAATTTGGGAAATGTTCATTTAGCATCTTTTAGAAAAGTTTGGTAATACCTTTTCTGCCTAACACATTTTATTAAACGGCATAAGCTTTTAGATACCTTCTGATTTTTTTGCCACCATAGGCTAACATGGTTCTCCTACAAGATTAACATCTTTCAGTTGCTGTTCTTTCACGTGCTTCCACCAGTTCACTTTAAACAATTTGCTGCTTATGTCATGTTTTCTTGTGTGACTTGTCCATATATCCTCAGGTTACTATATTAACCTAAGGTAACTAATAAATTGTATTTATTCATGTTCAGTCATATTAATAGATTTGCAGTCCGAGTGCATATCTTTATTATATGCTGGTAATTTTTGCCAATCCATTTAAAAAAATGTTTAAAAGCTTGTTTTAATTTGAAGTTCTTTTTATGCAAATCATGATGTGATATAGTTTCCAAGGAAAAAAAATTGCTTACTTCATTCTATGAGCTATGGAGATATGTTGAAAGTCCTCTTCAGTTATGAAGGTACTGTTTGTATTCTTTACTGTTTATCTTGCTCCCCACTCCCAGCTGTGGGAAGCAGTGGTGGAATACAGTGGTCTCTTCATCTTGGCCATGCTGTGCAGGGCAACCAAAAGGGCAGAGATGGGGAGGAGATAGGCAGGTGGGGGGAGTTGAAACAGAGGCAGTTTGCACGGGGCAGGAGAACGTGACTGCAGGACGCTACAACAGATGTAAATGTGGGCTAGTTGCCAATTGCTTAAATTTTGATCGTGTGGCTGCAGGGACTGCCACAACTTTGAGGACCCATCATAAGTCAGTTTTTTCAGCACCATCATAATTTTGAATGGCCACTGAACAAATGGACATAACCTGAGGAGTACCTGTATAATTTGGGATTGGCTACTCATATAAATGCAAGAATTATAGAACAATTTTTGGGGGGTGAGAAAACCAGCAAATAACACTGTTTTTATATTTGCATTGTTGTACTGGAAGAAAATTACTTTGACAATTGTATATATGAATTTGAATTCTTGGTCAATATTCAGGGATTAGCAGAGTGGCTATCAGTTAATAGAACAGTGGGCTATTTGGACCAAAATTGCTAAATACCTTCAACTATTGTATTTTAAGTTGCTAATCCCCGAATATTGACCAAGAATTCAAATTCATATATACAATAATTGTCAAAGTAATTTTCTTCCAGTACAACAACGCAAATATAAAAACAGTGTTATTTGCTGGTTTTCTCACCCCCCCCCCAAATTTGTATGTCCATTTGTATTGACATTTTTTTACTTAATTCTGCTGAATGAAATTTGCCAGAATGTAGTAGTTTTATTTTAAACAAATTAGAATAGGGAAAGTAGCATATTTTGTGCAGTATCACGAGCTGGCAGTTACCTTGGTGAGAGAAATGTGCTCGTCCCCTGGAACTGTGACGTGAGATCCAGGCTCATGTCTCTCACCCTTTGCACTGTTTGTCTCATTACCTCCCCCTCTTCCGTGTGCCACTGAAGCTAAATTCTTGGTGGTGGTGTTAGGAGCTGAGTTGAACTAAGTGCTACTGGTGCCTGCCTCTGATCTGTTAACAGCCCCCTTTTGGAATGTGGAGGAGGTGGAAGAAAACAGATTGGAGCTGAAGCAAACATACTCTCTCCCCTGAAGTGTGGGAACATCCTCCTCCTCTCATTCATTCTGGCTTACTCTTTCATAGCACCTGCAGTACGCAAGTTTGCTGGATTGTTCTCAGCAAAGCAAGCTTAAATTGGATGATATCGGCTGCTGATGGATCACTATCCCCCCAAATGCCCATGATGTAATTTCCTATTGCTAATTTATTGCTTGGGTGTCTAGGAAAATTACATAATCCACTTGCTTCTGCACCAAGAACCAGCTGCCTTCATGGATAATAAAGCTAACCTCTTTTAACAACTTAAAGTGCTGTCCAGTTCTAAATCATTATTCATTTCTGCTATAATTCTGTGTGTAAATTTCTCAGTTAATACAGCTGATGACTGATTTTTTTTTTTTACTAAGGTCATTGGAGAAACTCCAGATTTTTTGGGGCAGGAGTGAATGTTTGATTAGAGATGACTTTAAGGATACCATGGGACTGTAGAAGTATAAAATATACTAATTTTTAAATATTCAGTGAAAGAAACATTCGCTGTGTTTTGTGCTCACTAGATTGATTTGTTTTAATAATGCCTACAGTTTAGCACCAGATACACATCTGCAACATTACTGGCATTGGTTCAGGAATCCATAATTATTCGGATGCAGAACTGTCAATTGGTTAACAGATTGCAAAAGGAAATGCTAGAGGGAGGGAGGGAG